GATGCGGAAGTTGATATGCGTATATCAAGCCCAATGGATATAACGTGTAGGGAAAAATTCGCCGCCCGCGCAGTGTCGTTCAGAAGGCGAGCGTTCGCGCTGTTGAACACGCCTCTGATGTTCGTTTACCATGGTTTTCAACGACATCGTCCAACAGTCCGATCTTCTGCAGGTGAGCTGGAGTCAATACGGACAAGCTTATTGTGTCTCCTATTGCTTCGTGGAAACCCGGATTTGCTCCGTCACGGAATTTCACCGGCTGGTCCTTGTACTCCAGAAAGTATTCGACGTGGCCCATCTCGTGGTGCGTGGTGGAGAGCCACGACATGGTGATGTCTGTACACTGCTTGATCCTGTAAGGGGGAGTAGAGAGGGGGGTAAGAGAGGCAGCACATGTGTTGTTGAGTAGAGAGAAGTAAAGAGCTGGGGGAGGGGGAAGTTAGTAAAGCATATTACACGTATATACACACAGTGGTAGTAAGATACAGAGCATGTGTTGTTGAGTAGAGAGAAGTAAAGAGCTGGGGGAGGGGGAAGTTAGTAAAGGAGTAGGGACGGAACCACACACACACACGTGCATGGTACACTTACATACACACAGTGGTAGTAAGATACATGTGTGTCGTTATGTAAGATATAGTAAGATATAGTAAGATATAGTAAGATATAGTAAGATATAGTAAGATATATTAAGATATATTAAGATATAATAAGATATAGTAAGATATAGTAAGATATAGTAAGATATAATAAGATATAGTAAGATATAGTAAGATATAGTAAGATATAATAAGATATAGTAAGATATAATAAGATATAGTAAGATATATTAAGATATAGTAAGATATAGTAAGATATATTAAGATATAATAAGATATAGTAAGATATAGTAAGATATAATAAGATATAGTAAGATATAATAAGATATAGTAAGATATAATAAGATATAGTAAGATATAGTAAGATATAATAAGATATAATAAGATATAGTAAGATATAATAAGATATATTAAGATATAGTAAGATATAGTAAGATATAGTAAGATAATATAGTAAGATAAGTAAGAGAGTATAACGAGGAACATCTCTACGGAAAATATGAGATAGGCTGGTGAAGGCGCCAGAGCAGAACGGAAGAACAGTTTGGTCGTAGTCGGACGAAGAGACCCACAAAACCCCGAAAGCAAATTGCAAAATATGGCAGCGTATTTTGTATTTCCGGCTACCGACCGGAAGTCCTTCCCGTCGTAGAAGTCCCAGGCGGAAGCGTAGCAGACGACGTCGCGATCCTCCGGTTTGACGATCATGCTCATGTTCCAGAACTCCTGAGGCATCGGCGACATACCCAATGACGTGAAGAACGATTCGGAAACCTCAAATATCCTCTGCGCGTCGTAGTTCTGCGCGGGAAAATGCCATATATATATATATATAT